CTGGAGGCTGAATTATCAGTGGGACCTCTTCGTTCTTGTTTCCCCCAAAATGGCTAGATCGCAGGAGCCATGGAGCTGGTTCTTGAAGAAGGGCTGTTCTCTGTGCCCAAAATCTTGAAAGGAGAGAGAGAGAGATGGAGGAGGAAAGAGAGAGACAGAAAGGATTGCAGCGTGACCATTTCTCATGGGTAGGTACTGTTTTCTCTTCTTCTCTGCCTTTGTCTAATGAGTGCACATGAAATCTAGAAAAAACTGGAGAAGTAAAAGAAGAAAGAGAGAGAAAAAGAGACGAGCCTTTGTGGTCAGGAGTAGCAGTGGAAAAACTTCATTCATAAAAATTTCAAGAAGTTTAAATATAGCTCCTAATCTGTAGTGGAAACATGCATAAATGGAAACCAACTAAGATTTTTTTTTTGTAAGGCAAAGAATATGGTGGCTAAAAGAAGAAACAACTGCTCAGTAGAGCACACTGAAGTTTGAGTGCAGGTGAAGTTTCGTCTGAGCCTCAAGAATTTTGATTCCTTTCTTTTTTGTTGCTTTCTCTCCCCTGTGGTACTCTGTCCACCTACTCAGCTTATTTTTAATTTATAGGCTGAAAACATTCAATGCATGGAATTGATAAGCAAGAACTAAGTAAGTTCAGAGTTTTGAGCCCTCTCTTACTAGTAAATATAGCTTTTATTTTACTCTAGACATATGGATTTGGATAAATCTGAGCAAAACTCAGAAGATCTTTTAAATAATGCTTCTAACTGATATTTGGAAAAAGCTACAATTTATTTAATGCTGTATTATTCTCTATTTTTCCCATAGTTTCCTTATTTAAAATATGTAGGTTTTTAAAGGTTAACAGAGTCTCTATTTCTGTGAGTTCTTCTTGATAATACTGACAACTTGGCCAGTGAGGTTTTTAAATTCATCTAACAAAAATGAAGTCTCTTCTTATTAGTATTTCCATAATGTTTCATGCATTGGGAATGTTATTTCTAAATTGAACTATTTTAATTTCAGTTGTGTTGGAGCCCCCGAAGTATTCCAAAAAATTAAATGAGAGGCCATCATGCAAGTGTTGCCCAGGAGGTGGCTAATTCCAGTCTGCGAATCAACTCTTTATCCACACCTAGGTAAAAATTTATTAGTGTCAAGTTGGATGTTAGAAGAGAATTTGGGGAGAATACCTATCAATGTGCTTTGAATTGTTTCCCTCCCCAAGTGCCCTAGCCATAGGGTAGAAGTTCTCATCTCCCACATCAAGTACTTCATGTGTTTTTGAAGCTTGGTGGACTAGAGTGTTGTGCATGTCTGATAAATTTATAGGATGAAAGACACATGAATACTCCAATAGACATGACGGTCTAAAGGACTGGAAATTCTGCCCCTCCAGGTTTTGTTGGGACAAAGGCTGGCCGAGCATTGCTGTGGACCAGAGGCAGGGAGTGCACACAGGGAACAGACCTCAGATGTGCTCAGCAACAGTGCCAGGGCTGAACAGCCCAATATCTCAGCACCTTAAGAGACCGTGTCCATCACCAGGTGGTGGTGGTGGTGGTGGAGTGAATGGGCATTGTCAAAGACCAGGAGAGGTGTGGGTGCCTGTGGAATCTTGACTAGATAAGTAGGCAGAGCATTATAGGGGATCTGCATTTGTGCCAGTGCACACATGAAGCCTGCCCTTGGGGACTCCCGTATGCCCAGGGAGGATTTTATAGCACTGCAGATTTATAGAATGACTGGTTTAAGCTGAAGACCAGAATAGCTAACATTACAAATGAATAAAGACAGGTAGAAAGTTTGCCTATAAATTGAAACAGAGTATATAGGGCACTGAAGACATACTTTGCTACTTCACAGGTGGTTTAAAATCAGCTCTGTCTCCCTCTCAGGAATGGTACAGGGCACAGAGTTAAGGGCAGGGTAAGATAAAGGACTTGTGACTGCCTTTTTTCCTGCTGGGGATAGAGCATCATACTTTAAAGAATACAGTGTTATAACAAATCCTGAAAATGCTTTTGCCTCAAATTCAATCTACTGATGGGGATGTAATAATTTGGAATTAAAAATATAAAACTTAAATGTGAGTGTTCTCTTGTAGCAGAGAACCATCTTTTGATGCACAATTCATACCACATTCTGCTTTCACGAGCAATTATGCATTAAACTATAAAAAAAGATATTATAAAATTGGACATCCTTTCTACAGCCAGGATACACTTAGCTCCATGTAGTCACAAAATTTAAATGACTCATAAATCATAAAATATAATGAGTCATGCCTACAATGCAATGAAGAAAATGTTAAAAGTCTGTAGCTCAATAATAACCAGTCTAGTTGGGTGATGTAGGCATCCAGGAGTTTTAGATTTTATTCACCCGCCTACAGGAAAGATTTTTTTAAAAAATTTTTTAACTTTTGTACTTGCCAGAGAGAAAAATTGAGAGAAAAAAGTGAGAAATCATCCCTCAGGGGGTGATGGTCACACTATAATCCCTTCTCCTCCAGTCTCCCCTTGGCATTTTGAGTATGCACACACACTTGCCCAGTATTTTTGAAGCCCCCAGGTCCAGAACTTGAACCATAGACTCAGAGTTGGCCATGCAGGATCCAGTGTCTTAACCAACATGCCCCTTGCTGGCCCAGAAAGAGTATTTATTTATTTATTAGTTTATTTTTTAAGAGACTTTTTTTTATAGGGCACGTGTGCTCACTGGAGAGACAGAGAAAGAAGACAGAGAGACAGAAAATGAAAAATCTGCCACCACCCCCCCGGGAGGATAGCCATGCCACAATCTTTTCTCCTTCATTCTCCTCTCTGGATCTTGGGCATGTATGCATGTGCACTTGGCATGAGTTTCAAGTTGCCAGGCCCGGGGCCTTGAACTGTGGTTGACTATGTGGGAGTCTAGTGAGGTAACAATTATGCCATCTGCTGGTCCCCAGGAAGAGCCTTTAAAAATGGCCCTTTTCAGATAGTAACAAGAGCACAAATAAATATCTTTTCATTTTTGTTTTAACTTGGGTTTAAAATTAAAATCCATTAAAAAAAATCTCTTCATGTAAGAATTAACAAAAAAAATTATATATATATATGTGTGTGTGTGAGTATGTTTGTAAATTAAAATTCATGGTTTTTCTCTAGCATGACTTCTTTGAAAATAATATTAATAATTATAAAAATGCTATAAAACAATGACAGCTAAAATTTCTATGTGTTAAAAACTATTCTAAGAAAACTTTACATATAAACTACTTCAATCTTCAGGCAACTTTATGAGTTTGGTAATACATATTTAACTTTACTTATTTGTTCTATGAGGATGTGAGAGAAAGATACTGAGAGAGAGAGAGAGAGAGAGAGAGAGAGAGATAGCACCTGAACAGAGAAAATGATGGAAAATGATGCCTGGTATACTCAGAAACATCTCAGGACTTGAACTAGCAACCTTCCTATATGCATCTGCATTGCAGAATGTTGCAATCTACTACTACACCACTGTTCTGCCTGGGATTGGTACACTTTTTATAGCTCCCCTATGGAAAAGGAAACTGAGGCTTAGAGAGGTTAAATAACTTTCTTAGAATGTCAAGCTTAAAAATGCCCTGTAATTTTTTTAGTATGCACAAGTTCTGCCAAGCAGAGATTCAATACTTTTCCATAAAAGGAACTGATTCAATGTTATCATTGTGCTTATGTTTAGATAAGGTAAGGTGCAATAAAACAATTATAGTGCAATGTACAAATGTGTAATGCCATCATCATTTTATGATACAGTTATAATTTCTGAGTTTAGCACCATTAGTACAGAAACTGTATGGGAAAGCAACCAAAATCCAACTACTGCCCTGTCCACCCCCCAAAAAAAGGGTAAGAGAGAATTCTTGATATTCGTTAGACTAATGTTTTCATCAGTCCCTATAAGGATGCGGGGATGACCATACTTGAACCCAAAGAATGCACTAGGGTCCAGGATTGACCTAACTGTGCCCTTCTCAGCATCGTTAACCCCTGATATGACCCACTCTTGCAGCCAGGGAGACTGAGACAGGAGCCCTGTGAAGTTAACAGTGGTGTCTCAGGCGAGGAGGGTCAGATGGATATTTGTGTTCCAGTATTTATGGGGAAAAAAGGGAGAGAAAAATGAAAACTAACCATAGGGAGATAGTGGTGGCCTATACATAGCTGGTGAAAAAATGATTTTGACACTATAAAGTATTAAGTAGGATATGAAAGTTAAAATGGGAATTAACTGATAAATGTGTATCTTATAACATGTTTAGGGCATTTCTGGAGATTGTAAGATATATTTCAGTCATAGAAGACATTATTATTTTTTTTGTACATGGCAGGTAGGTGGCAAGGTAGTTAAGGCACTGGACATTTTCACATGGCCAACCACGGTTTGAGTCCCAGACCTGATAGATTGTTTTCTCACTTTCCTTCTCTCTATGAGTCTGTCTTTCTCTGGTCAAATGAAGATGAATGAACGAATAAATAAAATTAAATAAATAATTCTTAAAAAAAAAGATGATGTACGTATGTATATAAAGGCAAAGGGGGTTGAGAAAACTTTAGTTTTCATTTGTTGAATACATATTTTGTGTCAGGCTATGTGATATGCTGGGGATTTAAAAAAAAGAAGACGAAAGAAGAAAAGAAAGGAAAAAAGAAAAGATAAGTTACTAGATTTGGATTCCTAACTCCCAGAAATCCCAGTTAGTGATTTTAGCCTTTATAGGAAACATGTAGCAAGAAATATCAGTAGATTTCAAGTGGACAATGTGGGTGAAGGTGGTGCTATCAGGAGCTTTCTTCAGTAAGGGCTTTGTTTCTTTTCTTTTCTTTTTTTTTTTTGAGAGTTTTTTTTAGCTATAGGGCGCGTGCACTCGCCAGGCAGACAGAGAGAGACAGAGAGATAGAAAGCGAGAAATCACCCCCCAGGGGGGATGACCACACCGCAATCCCTTCTCCTCCATTCTCCTCTCAGGATCTTGGGCACGCATTCATGTGCGCCTGGCATGAGTTTAAGCCGCCGGGTCCGAGACTCGAACCACTGTCGACTACATGGGAGTCCAGCGACATAACCATCACGCTAACTGCTTGTCCCAGTAAGGGCTTTGTTTCAATGCGGTGCCTCTGTTACCCGCTGAGCTTCACAGGCCCTTGGCTCAGGGTTTGATTCTGCATGGATTCCACAGGTCTTAGGGTGCTGGCATGCATCACATAATCCTGCTTCTGTCTGTCCACACATTTCTCTCTTGCCAACTGCAGGACACCCTCTTGTACATACAATGCTTTATATACAGATTTTCAGCAGCTTCGGAGTAGTGACAGACTGGTTGATGACAGTAAAAATGCAAAATCTTCCCTTCATTCAACTGCCAGATGCCGTAAGAAGCTGAGAAAGGTAGCTGGTTGCTTCCACGGAAGGAAAGAGAGGAATTAACTTGAATCTAGTCAGGAAAGCGCTCCACTAGCTGCCAGAGTCTTTGTGATTTTCAAAAGAAGTTCCCTTTATACTATTGGAGAAATTACCCCAGTCTCCCTTTTGTCATCACTGTTTATAATGTGACCTCAAGCTTCGAGGGGCCACTCTGCAGTGTAAAACTGCAACGTTAAAGCCTGCAGCTTGTGCAGACCTGCTTTACTTGACTCCATTTGGAAAGACAGGCTGTTACTGGGCAAGGCTGCTAGGTCAAAGAGGAGGCAACAGACTTGAAATGCCTTGTTTAGTCAAAACCACTCTGTTAGAACAGCCCTTCTTCAAGAGGCAGACAGCTCCATGGCTCCTGGGATCTAGCCATTTGGGGAGAAAGGAAGATGTCCCACTGATAACTGGGCCTCCAGCATCCAAAACTCGCGTGAACAGCCCTTCTTCAAGAGGCAGACAGCTCCATGGCTCCTGGGATCTAGCCATTTGGGGAGAAAGGAAGATGTCCCACTGATAACTGGGCCTCCAGCATCCAAAACTCGCGTGAACAGCCCTTCTTCAAGAGGCAGACAGCTCCATGGCTCCTGGGATCTAGCCATTTGGGGAGAAAGGAAGATGTCCCACTGATAACTGGGCCTCCAGCATCCAAAACTCGCGTGAACAGCCCTTCTTCAAGAGGCAGACAGCTCCATGGCTC